GGGGGTGTTGGACCCAGAGGATGCAAACACATAATCAGTCTATCAGCGATGTAATGCACTTCTCCTCTGGCTCATCAGTACAACTCAATCAAACATCCAACTCTGCCCTGTTAGCAAGGGGCCTCCATGGCCCCCCGAAGAGGAGGGGCACATCAACCTCAATCAGTGTGGGTGATGAAGATGGATATGCCTGCGTATGCATATACCGCAAGCAGGCGCATACATATAAAGACGTACACGCCAAAGCAGCAAGGTGAGGTGAAAGCAATTAATGTTTTGGAGCTGGCCATGCATCACACCTCAGCACTGATTGACAGATAGCATCAGGAGAATGTCCTGTTCTTTTACCCACACACACACATACAAACAAACACACACACACACACACACACACCTAAAAAGAAGACGAGAGCAATAGGTTTGTTCTCAAGGACAAAGATGAGCACAGCAAAGAGAAGAAAAAAAAAAAAGTACTTTGAGACTCAACTAAAGGCTAAAAAGAACTACGAGATCTATTTACTTGCACCTCAATGCCTTCAGTTCTCTCCTCCTGCAAGCGCTAGTGTAACAAAGCTAGAAGATTTCCAACACAAACTAAATAATTTCCAATTCAAATGAGTGGAGAGCAGCACATGAGGTAGGCTGCCTAGCCTCACTTGTCTCCTGCATATCTTGTATCTTCCATGTTAAGGAGCTCAGGCTTGACTTGTATACATTCTCCTCACACCTCTGGCTTCACTGGGCTGCACTGAGAGGGGACATTGGGCCTGAAATGCTTGTTAGCGCGGCCTTACTAGTGGCATTCAAGAGTACGAGCCGGTTTTAACAATGTATGCCTGTGTTAGAGTGCATTATTGAATGTAAGAGAATGAGAACGGTGGTGTGTGTGTTTGCTGCTGCTGCATGTGTGTGTTTGTGTAAGCCAGGGCGTCAGGGAGAATGAGAGAGTGAGTGAAGTGTGCGTTACATTATACAGCATGTGTTTCCAAAAGCCACTAGGGGTGAAAACATCCTCAAATGCTATAAACTCAATGATGGGGAATGGCTCCTTTCGCACCACTGGACTGTGCAAACACAGCGCACAGCACAACTTCAACGTGGCATGCGTTTTATCTCGCCGAAACCCATCACATCAATATGGATGCCCTTAATGAGAGGGTGGAACAGCACACGGCTTTCTGCGTGTTTGATTTGCAAATCAATTGGCCTTAGTTTAGACTGATGAGATTCGCATCACACTCCTTAGCTCGCTTTCAATCTCAGGCTCTAATTGTAGGGATTGAATTCTCTGTTTGTCGGGCCTTGGGAAGTTACCGTGGCTATTTCCTACCGCTGTCCAACACATGGCACTGACCTCGTAATACTCATTATCGCTGCCGTCCCTCTTCGTCCTGCTGTGCCCCGGCACTTGGCACGCACACAAAGAGATTCAGGCGCGCAAACATGCAAGAAGAAAATAAACTTGGGGCTTAAACTCTGAATAGCCAGGGTAAGCAGCTTGAGATGTCAACCTCTAAATGTGTCGGCCAGACCAAGGGAGTCTCAACCTGGATTGTGCTTTAGGGCTTGCAAAAAGGACTACTTGTGACAGGGTGGAAAATTGCAGCTTTTGGCACCAAGGTAAATATACACACTTTAGTGTGGTGCATTGACATATCGCATTATCACGCACCAAATGAGGGAAAAACTCAAGGGGCAAAAACTACAAGGCATGTTGGAGTACCTTCCCATGTTGCACATCAATTTGCAGTTTTCTGGTGTCAGATCTTGTAATTTGGCAAAATGGCACTTTATCTCAGGATAAATTCATCACAATACTTTCGCCTGCAGCTAAAAAAGTGCATACACACACCCTTTCTCTTTCTCTCTCTCACACACATACACACACACACACACACACACACAATAGCTCATATCTGTCACAGGGCATAATGGTGGAATCTCAACACCCAGCGACACAACAGTTTATCACTTTAATAGGATTTCTGCAGGAAGGGACAAATCTAAGAGCCTTACTAGGTGGCCTTGCCTCTCTCTGTAGTGGCCCCTAGAAGGGGGACAGAATTGTAGGAAACCGCAGCACTGAGCGTGTGATGTATAACTATCTCTGTCCTTGTTATGAGGTTTATTCTGAGAGGCAAAAAAAACTAGGGCAGCGGAGATGGCTCGTTATCCGAACTATCTTAGCTTTGATGGGGACGTGCGCGTTAGAGGCAGAAGGGGTGCTGGAGGAGTGTATATTCTTAGAAGAGAGGAGGCTTCGAGCATGCGTGTCCCTTGAGGCCTTTCCTCAAACCTTCATCACTTCCTCATAAGCTACAGTTTGCGGGTATAGTTCTGACATCAAATGCAGTGTTTTCTAGAAAATACAAACTGTGGACAGCGTTTAAAATCACACTCAGGCTTCGGAAAAACTTTGATTCACGAGTAATTAAGTTATAAATAAAAATAATGGTTTATCGGGGGTTCATAACGTTAGAGAAGCATCAATGACAGGTCCATCATTTCTGCATGTTGCTTTATGTGCTAATGTAAATAACACCCTGCAAAGATGAGCAGCAGATCTTTATGAAGTGGTTGTGTTTAAAGGCGTCAATGCATACATGTTCACGAACAATGACCTATTGTCATGGCAACTGGAGGGACAGACTCTGTGAGGCATTACTCACAGACCTATGGACGTACATGTCTGTGCACACATACACACAAAGTGAATGTGTGGAAATTTATTGGCAGTGCCACTCACTCTGTTTGATGAGCCTTTTGTCGGCCACAAGAACGTTCTCGGCGTCGACAATGATGACCTTTCCGTCACGTGGGCCGACCGCAAAGTTGTCAAAGCTGACATCGAGCAGGTAGAGGGCGAACTCAAAGTCATTGTTGGTGAGCTGCTCGGCAATGTCCATCAGCTGGCGTGCCAAGTCTACCCTCTTCTCCCACGGCGCATTGTAGAAGCTCCACAGATCCTCACCTACGTAGTTGACAGCTACCACGCGCCCACATGCTCCCAGGTACTTGGCGAACGGCCACCCTTCATCTGACGGAAAGCTCTGGGAAGGAGAAACAGATGAGCGTGGAAGACAGTTTATTAAATAAAAAAAAAAACAGATAAAAGAAGTCAGGCTGTGTAATGTAGTTGGCTGACAGAAAAAAAGAACCCAAAAACAAAACAATAACAGTGGCTCTGAACAGCAAAGGTTAACACATGAATTGGAAGAACCTTCAAATATTCAGAAAATATTTGTTTAACTTGCACACGAATCGGCTTCTTTAACACGGACAGATGAAACAAAAATCCCAAAAAGGCAAACACAAAGATTCTGTGTGCAGCCTGAGGTGATGTTTTATACACAATTCTAAGCACAATAGCTGAAAATCTGCCAAGGATCACGTGGGTATAACGGATTAAATTTAATAAAAGCAAAAGCCAGTTTGTGTTAAAGCCCTACAGCTATGAGTTGATGTACGCCGCTATATTCAGTGGTTCCAGAGAACTGATAGGAGATGATTTGTGGTAACAGCAGTTAGCAGGAAAGCCTTATGTGTTGTGATGCAGCTGTGGGGCGATTTAAACTGCTGTGTGATGTCGACTAACTGAGTTAATGCAGCTTGGGCATGCTGACAAGAAATCGCTGTGTATTATAGGTTAAACTGATTAATAATAAGGTAATACCACCAGATGAAGGCGGTACTAGCGCACTAGAGCCTAATCTCTCTTGGATTTATTTGCCTCTGCTGGGGTCAGATATGCATGTGTGACCTATCATCTGCAATTGCCTAATCAAGTGGTCACATTTGTACAGGCAAACACATACACAACTGTGGAAAGTTGTACACATACAAACGCACATGAAACTTAAATGAGATAGGCATGAAGCAGCTGTATCTGGCAAATGTTGCAGGCTGCTGGGGGACTCGAATCTCTAAGTCTCATTACCGCTTCGATCTTCCTCTATGAGCTCTGGTGTCTCACACTATCCCTGCATTCCATTTCTTTTCTCTGGGGCCCATTTCATTGTCGCAGGCTGCCACAATGGTCAGACAAATTAATAGAAAATAATAGAATGAAAACCTGTTTTTCTTTTGTTTCGTTTTTTTCCCCGCAGACACATGGGTATTGCTGCATGCGGTACGCCCTCCACCCTATAAACCTGCTGCCATAGGACTTCATCTTTTATAATAAACACCCAGCCATATGCTAGCCTAATGATTGCCTGCATTTCCTATGTAACAAATCTCTCCTGGGTTGCAGTTTTTGGCAGGCAGCCGCCACATGGACACAGACTGAGAATTGGGAGCACTTGTCTTTCACAGCAGCCTCGGTCGCCCTCCCTTTCTGAAACCCAATCGCACCTGCGATAAGGCAGGGAACACATCGTGACACTGCAGGTAAGGTGTGAACTACTATCAGTGTTGCATCTCACTTTACACTCGAGGTAATTCAATACTTTACCAGCTTTCAATTTCTGTCATGAGGGTAGGAGGTTAAATATGCATGGCTGCCCCAACTCTTTAAACTTTAATGAAATACAAATTATTTAAAGACATACATTTTAACCCCCTCCATCCTCCTCCTCCCGCACACCACGCAGCTGCTATCTCAAAGACAGCAGCTGGACTCCTGCCACATGGAGACTGTGGCACTGGGAGGATGCAAGTGATCTGGAACCCAAAAGGCATTCAGGTGATGACTATGGTGCGATTTGCAGCTTTGCTTGTGTGCCACTGACTATTTCTGGTGTGTTTTATTTTGAACACTCTGCAAAGTATGCTGTGCATGATGCAATGAAGTCAAGGCAATTCTAAGCCCAACAAAGTCAAGTAAAGCAGCGATGACTCAACGCGACACATCGAGACAGCAGCAAACTTTTTCCAGCCTATCAGTCTGTTAAGTGGCGTAAATCTATACCTTAGGTGTATCTCTTGTTCCCATCAGTTTTAAGAAAGAGCCACAAGCTTGACTGAAGGACAGTGATAAGTTGCATGCAGTGTAGGTCGAACCCATTTCCCTGAGGTGACCCGATCAATCGTGGGCCAGACAACAGTCTGTCCATGAAGCACTACTTGCTTCTTGCTGCCTTGTCTGTCTGTGCTCATCATCACTAGACTTGGCAATGACTCACCCAAACTTCTCCAAAAGCCTGTGCTTCAATAACCTTTGTCTAGACTTTTAGATACAGCAAACTCGACAAGAAGAGAAATTAAAGGAAGTCCATCACATGCTCAGAAATGAATGATAATGGTGGGCTGACTGCACTCTCAAATACTGGCTGGAGGGGAGACAATCCCAGGCTACTGAGATGCCATTAGCCACTGGGCTAAGAGAATTAGGATTAGAGATTTAATAGGCTAAATATCTAAAATGGCTTTCTAATTTCTGAGGGTGGTATATAAAGATTAAGTTGAAGCTTGATCAGTTAGGGGGTATATCCTTCTTAGGCTCGCCTCCCTTTGACCCAAATTCAAGCCTTTATGTTGCTGCAAACCTAAGCGGCTCTCTGTCACAATGACAAAACTTGCCCTGTCCAACATTATGACTAAAACCTCCTTTGCCAAGCATCAACCTCTTCTCTCACGCCTGTAGGGTGGATGGTGAGATGTGGGGTTGCGGGGGCAGCCTGAGAGCGGAGAAAAGAAGAGAATACGATGGAGACAGCAAACAGAAGAGACAAACAGAGTGTCTTTCACTTCTACGCTCCAGTAGACAGGAGGAATAAACCAGCAAAGACCTGCCTGCTAAACACATCTCTCTCTTTGTTGTCAGGTTACAGCCCTGAATAGGAGGAAAAAGTAGAGCGACAGCAGATGGGGGGGATGGCTGATGGGAGGGAGGAGAAGGATGAATGCCCTACGGCTACTTTCATATACTGTCAACGGCTGTTATGAGAACGCCTTCATGTCTGTCTGGCCCTCGTTCGTGGTTCTTAACATAGATGTTGCTCGTTCGCGGTGCTGGAAGGCTCGCGGTGCTGGAAGGCTCGCTGCGCTGCGTCAATTACCTCGGTGCCATTTTTATGAGCTTCCTGTATTTAAATTTTATACACAATAAGTCTGAAAGTGAGAACTACCGAACAGCGTGGGCAGGCACACGAGAGTGGGCACCTGAGCTTTGGATTCAAACTCGCCTATTGCAAGGCTTGATAAATACTCTACGTGTCCCACCAATCATTCTCCCTTAGCGCTCTTTAAACGGTTACTCTGCAGAAGTCATTAACGTCCGCAATGAGGCGTTGAGTGGGGAGGGGGGGATAAATTGGAAAGCCCAGCCTAATATTACATCCACTGCACTATCTCTGAGCAGACCTGGGAGGTACTCTGGTGTGTGTGTGTGTGTGTGGTTACTGCAAAGGTAGTGAATTTTACCAGTCGTCACCCAATCATGTTATGCTATTTAAAAATGCTGAGGGTGCAAAACTGCCAATGACACATCCCAGCAACTTTTACTGCTTTTTAAAGTCTTATCACTTCTTGTTCTCTTCACTGGATAAGAACCTTTTATTTCCTGCTTAGCAAAACCTTGAACTTGTAAAACATGGAGCCCAATGCTTTTTTTTTTTCCCCCTTCCTCCCCTGCAAAGAATTTTTGCCGTGTTACAGAAATAATGAGCTGGGCTCGGGAGACAATGAAAGCAAGGGTGGAAAACAGACTCTTCTCATTAAAGACGACCTCATAGTGACTTCTAGGCCCAAGTCTGACTAATCTAATCTTTAAGGTTGTGCCAATTCGCCACCATAGCAGTGACTGGGGGCGTTGTTGTGCTTTCCACCCCCTCCCTTGTAATACAGACACACTGGCGTTCTCTTGGGGGTAGATTGGATTGGGCTGAAATGTAACAGGGCCACAGACAAATGGGCAGCCTCTGGAGAAGAGGATGAAACGAATGGAGCGAGAGGCACAGGAACACACACCTGCGTCCTGACATCTGCTGACAAAGGCATGCCCTTCTACAGGGCCACTTGGGGAGGGCGTGGGCGTGCGTGTGAGAGAAAGCGTTCAAAAAGAGGCTCCTTGTTTGGGTGTGCGTGTGAGTGTTTGTGTCTACGTGAAACGCCACCCGAGTGCATGTGAATGAGAATACGCAACGTGACCAGGGCTGATAACAACCTCTATTCAAGGGCCGAGTAAACATGAGTGGCTCCCAAGATATTGCCTTGGCTGGCTCGCAGAGAACACTGGACCATCAAACACACACATGCACACACACACACACACACACACGTGTATATGTTGGAAGCAGAGTTGAGTTTAAAAGGAAGCAGTTGCCTTCATCTTTGCAACCACAGCTACTTTCTGCGTAAAGGAAATTAGTAGTTGCAACCAAAGTGTGCAGCTTGTTAAAGCCCTAAGCCGGGTGTGGTGTAAATTCTCAACATTTTCTGTCTTCAACAAAACCTCGCCTCTTCGTAACAAACAAGCCAGGACAAGACTCGTAAAGAGTCCTGGGATCAAATTGTAAAGTTGATGACACGTGGCGGATAGACACATTCAGTCAGATACAACGAAAGAGAGACAGAAAAAAAAAAAAACCCAACAACTTTGAACCTCAGTGTTACAAAATGAACATTATTCAGTCTGTTTATCAGGGGGGATTAGTGTTAAGAAGGAGCCACATCTGTTTTGCAAGGCTTGAAAGGCAGGAGCTGCCAAGCTGGACCTAGGGAAAAAAGAAAAAAAAAAAAAACCCTATTGCTTTTCTGTGCAGCTCTCCTGTTGACCTTGTGTGTCTGGAGGATGTTTGGCGAACCCCGTCTGGCATTTTGCTGGCCATTTATGTTTAAAATCCAGTCAGTTAGTCAGACACCACAGGGGAACCAGCCTCATCCTAGCACACATGGTGCAACTTCTTTTCCGTGTCGCACGTCTCCCGCTGCTGCATTTCCTGCTAACCTAGTTTCCCCTCCCTCTCTCCCTTTGTTCCACCCCCTAAACCTGCAATACAGGGCAATGATCCCACATGTTCCAGACATCGGATCCAGGAAATGCCGAGTCACGGCACCACACTGAGGAGTGCATACATGTCTGCTGGTTGAGACAAGCCAACTGTGTAGA